ATAAGACCAATGCGGGGTCGAAACTGCAGTCCACTGGTGCCTGGATGAGAACAACTTTTGGGAAAGCAAGACCATGTGAAATTGAATGGAAACGTTAGCTCAACTCATATGATTGTGGGAGAATTCTTCATCTACCAGTCCTTCATCACCTTACACGAAATTGGGTGTATACATCTCATATTTTGAGATTGAGGACAAATATAGAACAAGTGGATTTCAGGCCTCCTTTTCGAGACGGAAATCCATGAGCTGCTGGACCAGAGACGGATTTGCATCCACTCGCATGACATGAAAGGGCCTCGTCTCGACTCTTGACGCGAATAACTGTACTGCAACATTGCATTAGTGCATTAAATAACTGCCAAAATGCAGCGAGTACTTGTCGAAAATGCGTAGCGCAAACTGTCGGGCGACTGTGAAGTCAAGACGACCCGTGCACCTGCTACTGCACAACGTAAGCACAACGTATCCATCCTCGACGCAAGAAAGTCGAGAGTTTGGCGGTACGAGTTGTTGCGCAGTCTCGAAACACTGAGTCAGGCCTGCACCACGCAGAGTATGAGCAAGAGACGCCACCCACTCAGCGGTCCCGACAGCAGAGCCCTGATGGTGCCCAAATTCGACAATAAAATGGACTGTACTACTGTCATGATATGAGTAGTGAGGGCAATTAACAAAAAAAGTTTTCAAATGGCCAAAATTTAAATTTACTTCTGCCCGCCGTCGTCTGAGGGCGGCAACTGCCGATGCTGCCCGAGAAGCCTCAACTCAACGTGACTATTAATGCGGATTGTGAGAGTGGAACTCGAATCACGAGCCACAGAGCACAATCATTTTGTGCAGGTGTTCACGGATAGGATACCATTTTGTTGGGTCATCACAAAACCGGCACCATTGGAGAGCAAAAAGCGTTTTTGAGCGAAAGGGTTTCGACAAATTTTATGTTTGTGTGTGTCTGTGTGTGAGTGTGTATGCGTTTGGAGGCTGTATGCACCACCGGAGTCGGAAGAGGGTGCCTCTCGACTCTGCGAGACCAGCTCTCACCTGTCGGCATGCGACTGTCCGCGAAGTGGGCAAAATGTTTGATCATCATATCATACTAATCTCAGTGTGTGTGTGTGTGTGTGTGTGTATGGTTGGCAGTGGGCTACGGAGTGACCAAGCCAACCAGACAAAGCGGATCACTCGGTCGGGCAGATGGCACGCATAGCCGTGGCAACAGCCGGAAGAGGTGGACCGCTTCTGAGACCGACTGGCACGTGATGGAACGTGGAACGAAGGGGCACAGACCCCAGTTTGTCCGACCCGGACCGGTGGACAAAAGTAAACAGGTCTCCACTGTCGGTCGTCTTTTATCCCGGCCTGCTCTTGTAGGCCTGTCACCGGTCGTCGCCCGCCTCTGCGCTCCGCCGGAGCAGCCCGAGGGCGGGCAGACAACACACTCGCGCCAAACAGGGCAAAAGTGAAAGAAGAACAGGACTGAATGGACCCACAGGGTGTGAATGAATGCTGCAACCGAGCCTAAAGATTGACGCGGACATTAAACACACAAACACACACACACATATATATATA